CTCCATAAAGGGTACTTCATTATATAATCTACAGCTTCCCATTTAAGAAAGAAGTGTGTGTGTGTGTGTGTGTGTGTGTGTGTGTGTGTGTGTTATAGCTGTAAAGAGTGATGGTAATTTATCTATTCTTCCGAAGCACAGTCCAAACTTTACTAATGCAAAACAGATGACAGGGGTTTCTTTCACAAAATGTTGGCAGTGACACATTTCAATTTCCACTAGCCAGAAACATAAAATAAACCCAACTGCCTCCTTCTCAGTAATATAGCAAAACAGAGAGCTTTAGAATAAAAACTCTAAACTTTTATTTCAAAAACAAACTCCTAGAAATAATAGGCCTAATTCAGGTGATTAACAGAAGATAATGCACTCAAATATTATCAGTCACTTTCACATATAGCTGGTGGGAAAGGACTGTAAAATAGTATAGTTGCTCTGACAAAGTTTGTCAGTTTATTATAAATTTAAACATGTCTTTATCACATGACTCAGCAATCCCACTTTTGGTTCTGTTCGCTAGAGAAAGAAACCTTACACACACACAAACCTCACTGAATGTTTACAGCAGCTCTGTTCATAATCACCAAAACAGGCGAGAACTCAAATGTTCTCCGAGGGCAAGTGAATAAACAAACAATGTCCAAAGAATGGACCTTCCCTGGAGGTGAAAACATGGGTGAATCTCAAAGGCACCGTCCTAAGTAAAGAAGCCAGTTTCAAAAGGTTACACACTGGGGTTTCATTTACTTGACATTTATAAACGGCAAAACTCGACTGATGAAGATCAGAGCAGGTTTTGCCAGGCACTAAGCGTTAGGGGAGGGTGTGATTATAAAGGGAGAACCAGAGAGGTTTGTTGTGTTCATGGAACTACGCAATATCTTTATTGTGTGGTGAGTACACAGAAACCAGCCAATCTGAAGGAAAAGAAAAGGAACATGCCGGGACCGGTTTAGCTCAATGGATAGAGCGTCAGCTTGGGGCCTGAAGGGACCCGGGTTCGATTCTGGTCAAGGGCATGTACCTTGGTTGCGGGTATATCCCCAGTAGGGGGTGTGCAAGAGGCAACTGATCGATGACTCTCTCTCATCGATGTTTCTAACTCTCTATCTCTCTCCCTTCCTCTCTGTACAAAATCAATAAAATATATATTTTTTAAAAAAATCATGATCCTTTATAAAAAAAAAAAATAAAAAAAAAGGAACATGTGGGACAATACCAAGAAGTTTTACGTTTATGTCATCAGAGACCAAGAAGCAAAGGAGAAATAAAGACTAGTATGGTAATAAAGTATCTGTCCCTAACTGTCCTCCATAGACTGAGCAAGAAATATCCTATATAATAAAAGCCTAATATGCAAATTGACCATCGCTCCAATACACAAGATTTATGCCCTTATGTGGTCAAAAATGGCAGTTGGGAGGGACCAGGCCTGCAGGGAAGGGCAGTTAGGGGTGACCAGGCCAGCAGAGAAGGGAAGTTGGGGACAAACAGGCTGGGAGGGGAGCAGTTAGGCAGGGGAGTGGTTAGGGAGTGATCAAGCTGGCAGGCATAAGCGGTTAGGGGCAATCAGGCAGGCAGGCAAGCAGTTGGGAGTAAGAAGTCCTGGATTGTGAGAGGGATATCCGACTGCCTGTTTAGGCCCAATCCCACTAGGCTGAGGGAGAAACCTCCCTCCCCCCATGCATGAATTTTGTGCACTGGGCCTATAGTCTGTATCATAAAAGGCATGACTCACCAGGAGGTGCACTGATGGGTCCCAGGTGCCTAGGACTTCTGGATCCCACGGCGGCCGCGGCAGGCGGGAGGCAGGCAGGACCTCTAGGCCCTGCAGCAGCCATGGCGGAGCATCGCAGGGCTCCAGCAGCATCCACAGAGCGACCATGGCTTTGTGGGGCAGAGGGCATTGCCTTGAGGGCAGGTTAGGCCTGCAGGACCCTACCCTCTAGTGCAGTGGTTCTCAACCCTTTAATACAGTTTCTCATGTTGTGGTGAGAAAATTATTTTCATTGCTATTTCATAACTGTAGTTTTGCTACTGTTATGAATCGTAATGTAAATATCTGTGCTTTTGATGATCTTAGGCGACCCTGCTAGAGGTTCTCAACCTGTGGAGTAAAGTACCATTTGGAACAGATGGGAACCCAAAACACAGAGGACTTCATCAGAAAGACTGGGGTCATGGCAGCAACCAGGAGAGAGCTCCCCATGATGGCACAGGCATGAAGAGGTGAACAGCTGCTGCTAGAGCACAAGATGAACCAGACTCTTCTACAGAACTCCTCTAGAGTGGGAAGCAAAAACCCTAACCCACTGAGAGAAAGGCAGTAAAGCAAGGAGGGAAAGCCCCTTACTTCTGAGGGAGGAACAGAAGTCAAACCCATGTGACTATGAGAGAGGGGCAGTCAAGTACTGCTGCCAAGACAAAGATGCACTACTTCGGGAAGAGGGACATAGGCAAAAACGTTGGCCTTAAATTGTGGCAGGCTGTTAGATAGACGTGTGCAGAGCAAGGAAGATGGGTCCGTTAGGGTATTGCTGGTCATGAGGTTTGGACCCCCTGACCTTTCCTCCCCAGACATAACATCCAGGCCTCAGTTGTATTTCAGCTCCAGGTCCAGAAAAGCAGAAAAACCCGACCAGTGACCCCATGGCTGGCCTCAGGACCAGCTGCTCTGACTAATGGCCCCTGGCCCAGGTGCTGCCCACCAACCAATCAGTGGAGACCACAGCTCTGAAAGGACACACTTGCAATGCCACCTAATATTCTATTAAGATCTTCCTCTGGAAATTCCCTAAAATCTCCACCCTTAAAACCCTCAGGAAGCGGCCCCTCTCTGGCATACCCATCTTCCCCTTTCCCTTCCTCCGCTCCCAGCCCCAGGCATGTTACCATTGGCTTCCCCCTCCAAGCTCCAAAGGCCCTTCCTTTGCCTCTGTAACTTGTTTCCTAAGCCCATTTCTTCTAGGAATTACTTCTACTCCTGTGATTAACCAAATAAATGCTCTCTTACAATTGTGTCTTAGCTCTGAATTCTTTCCTAGCTGGAACCCAAGTACTGAGGTTGCTGAACCCAGGTTTGGTTTGCTCCCTGGTGCCATTGCAACCACCAACAGAACAAACCCCTTCCAGCATTGGGTCCAGGGTTCTTTTAGGTCAGCATGCAGCAACTTCGATTTCTCACATCTCATTGCTGCTGAAATGCTGTCACAGGCTAACTTGTTTTCCATTATCCAAATGGCCTGTTAGCATTGTTTCATGAACACTTTCACACATTTAGCAAAATCACCATTCTTCATGGCTTCTTTGTTTTAAATCTGTGCTAATCATCCATTTTGCCAGCAACAAATGGAAAAAACAAACATCCAGTTCTCTACCTCAGAGCCATCATTCTAGTCTAAACTACAAACCTCTGTTGGGCAGTCATTAACCCTCCTGCATCTACTATTGCACTCCTTTAATCCATTCTCCCTACAGCACCCAGAATAATCCTCTCTACTAAAAGAGAAACATGAAAATTAACCGTTCATTTGCTACACCCACAAGCCATGCCCATCAACCAATCAGGGTGGGTATGCAAAATAACCCAACCAAGATGGTGGTTAATTTGCATATTCCGCCATAGCAAAGACTGAAGACAGCATAGAAGGAAGCCACAGGAGAAGCTGCAGAGAAGCAAGCAAGTGGGGCAGGGGAGAATAGAGGGAAGCAGGCAGGGCAGGAGAGAAGGGAGGGAAGCAGGTGGGGCGGCGAACGCAGCAGGAAGCCCTATTGCAGGAATCTTCCTGCAACGGGGCTCTAGTCTACGTATATAAAAGCCAGTGGCCCTAACGCCATAATGCCGCCACGACCAAACAAACGGCGGCTCTTGCAGCAGGCGGCTCTTGCAGCAGGCGGCCCGGGCGTGAGGTACAAGCAGCAGAGAGCTATGAGCAGTGGAGGGCAAGGCGAGAGCTACGAACAGCGGCAGCCAACTACAAGCAGCAGAGGACTGCGTGCTATGAGCGGCAATGGGCAGGACGGCCAGCTGAAGCAAGTGGAAGTGAGCTATCTGCGCATGATCTCGTGCACACTGGGCCTCTAGTAATTCTTTATAGAAAGGGTGTCACACTTGTGCCTTCCTTAAGCTCTGCTTAAAACCTTTCAAAGGCTTCACATTGTCCTGGCTGGTTTGGCTCAGTGGATCGAGCTAAATGAAGGGTCAGCCTGCTAAATGAAGGGTCCCAGGTTCAATTCCGAGCAGGGGCACATGCCCAGTTAGTGGGCCCTATCCCCAGTGGGAAGTGTGCAGGAGACAGCTGGTCAATGACTCTCGTCATTGATGTTTCTCTCTCTCCTTTCCTCTGAAATCAATAAAATATATATATATATTGCAATATTTTAAAAAGCTTCACATTGGGTGGGACTTGTGATCAAACTCCCTACACCAACTCCATTACTTCAAAAGCTTCATCTTATTCCACAATCCCTTGCCTTCCCTTCTCTAACCACTTGGGCCTCCTGCCAGCTGCTCACAGATGCCATGGTCCCTCCTAATACAGTGCCTATACACAAGCTATTCTGTTTATGCCTATTCAGTTTTCAGATGTCAGCTCAAGTTTCAGAAAATCATGCCATGTTCTCCCTGGAAGTTAAATTCATGATACAGCACTATGCAATTCTTCTTTATAACATTTAGCACAGATACAATTTTAGATTTATTTCTGTGACTACTTAATACTCGACTTTCCCACTAGGCCACAAATTCCATGAAGATTAAGACTTACATTTAGTTTTACTCAGAATTTAATTTTAATGCCTAGCACAAAGTAAATGCATAATAAAATTTTATTGAATGAAAGAATAATAAATATAAAGAATATAGGCTTAAATATAACCCATAAAAATGATATCACTTTCAGATATATTTTGATATTTATATATCAAGAAGGGAGAAAATGTAAACTCAAAACTATAGAGTGAAAACAGTCCCTAAAAAAAAAAATTGTAAATTATCTTACCTAGATACAAATTCACTTAATTCTGAATATGCAGTGGACTCCATTATTATGTTGAGGTCAGTAATAACGGAAGATAAATTGTCCTTGTTCTAAAATTTAAGAAAAATTAATATATCAGAACACAGTCAACTTTTATTTATTTATTTTTTTTTAAATATATTTTATTGATTTTGTACAGAGAGGAAGGGAGAGATAGAGAGTCAGAAACATCGATGAGAGAGAGTCATCGATCAGCTGCCTCTTGCACACCCCCTACCGGGGATATGCCCGCAACCAAGGTACATGCCCTTGACCGGAATCGAACCCGGGACCCTTCAGTCCCCAAGCCGACGCTCTATCCATTGAGCCAAACCGGTCCCGGCCACAGTCAACTTTTAAATAAAATAAAAAGACAAAGATAATTTTAAAATTTATGACAAATGTAAGGTTGCCACCTAATAGGAAAAGATAATCTACAGAATTTCCGAAAATATTGCCTACTTGTAAAAAGAATAAAACTCAGACCTGTGCTACATAAAAAACAAACAAACAAAAAAAAACTATAAATGAATTTTTTACTTAAATGTGAAACATAAAATACTAGGAGAAAATATTTATTTAACTGGTTACTCAGCAAGGAAGACTTAACCACAAAATGCTAATAGAAAAAAGTAAATAGCCGAAACTGATTTGGCTCAGTGATAGAGCGTCGGTCTGCGGACTGAAGGGTCCCGGGTTCGATTCCGGTCAAGGGCACGTACCTTGGTTGCGGGCACATCCCCAGTAGGGGGTGGGCAAGAGGCAGCTGGGCAATGTTTCTCTCTCATCAACATTTCTAGCTCTCTATCTCTCTCTTCCTCTCTGTAAAAAATCAATAAAATACAATATATTTTTTTTAAAAAAAAGAATAGGAAGAAAAGAGTAAAGATAAAAATTATTTTAAAAAATGTAAATAAATTAGGAAAAATATTCAAAATACCTGTATAAAAATAATTATCTTTTTTTAAAATATATTTTATTCATTTTTAACAGAGAGAAAGAGGGATAGAGAGCTAGAAACATCGGTGAGAGAGAATCACCAATCAGCTGCCTCCTGCACACCCGCTACAGGGGATGTGCCCGCAACCAAGGTACATGCTCCCAATTGGAATAAAATCTGGGACTTTTCAGTCCGCAGGCCGATGCTCTATCCACTGAGCCAAACCGGTTTTGGCATATAAAAATAATTTTCTAACAGAAAAGCAATAAATTGAAGAAAACTTTTACCATAAACACAACAGATAGGAAAACCAAAAAGAAAAATGCAAAGCACATTAACTAAAAACTAGAAGGTAAAAGACAATTCACATGAAAAACCACGTTCACTCTCATTACTACTAAAATAAGTGTAAATTAAAACAAGGGGATAACATTTTTTCTGTAAAATCTTTTGGACAATGCATAACTTGTAATATTCAAATATTCACAGCCTCTGTCTCAATAATCTCACTCTGAAGAATCTATCCTCAAATAATAAGAAATGAAGACAAAGCCTTCTGACTATTTATTACAAAAAGCAAAAAGCAACCCAATATTCAATAATGGGGATTGCTAAACAAACTCAAATAATTTGAACTGCAAACTCAGGTTTTCTTCTTCACGCTACTAAACTTTCTCTTATTATATATTTTCCTAAAATTTGTTCCCCCCTCCCTTTTTTTTTCTTTCTATTCTTGTTTTTGAAAAAATCATTTATTGACTTTTGACTGTCTATCTTCCAGATTTTTCTTCTTTTCACTTGCTCTCATGGGCGATTTTTCTCAAGCCTATACTCCAAGTTCTACTCCTGGCTACTTCTAATATAGTTTGAAGCACTATAATCATTATATCCATCCTACTCTCCCTTTCTCCCTTCCTTCCTTCATTCTTTCCTCCCTCCCTCCCCTCTTTCCTTCCTTCTTTCCTTCTTTCCCTCTCTCCTTTTCTTTCTCTCAGCTCTCTATTAATCTTATTCATTTTTCTTTAAATGCTTTCATTTGAGAGTCAGAGCAATTTTATATAGCATGTTCTTGTATCTCCTGGATCCATTTTTACAAAGTGAATTTATCTCCATTTTCTTATTGATTTTCTTCATGGTAGTATTCTTGCACAGGCCCTAAATGATGATGAAAGAACTCTGCACCCTCTTTGTGCTTTAAACTCTGTAATTCCCATTTAGTAATAGGAGTAGGTCTAGAAATTTTCTGAGTAACAGAGTTGGTGGATATTTCTTGACTCTTCCCCATTTGTCTGGGTATTATCTGACTTGTTTCTTTATATTTTGAGCTGCTAGAGAAATGAATATTGATGGTTTATACGCTTCGTTCAGTTTCTTAGCTATAATATTTCAGAGCAGAGTGAAAATTATTATGGTCAGCTATAGTTGAATTAGGCTATCTGTGGGTCTCTATCATAATCCTATCTAATAAAAGAGTAATATCCAGATTGACCATCACACCAACAAATAAGATGGCTGCCCCCATGTGGTCAAAGATCCTGCCCCCAACTGGACACAGATGGCCACCACAAGATGGCCAGCAGGGGAGAGCAGTTGGGAGGGACCAGGCCTGCAAGGGAGGACAGTTGTGAGTGATCAGGCAAGCAGGGGAGGGTGGTTGGGAGGCACCAGGCCTGTAAGGGAGGGCAGTTGAGAGGGACCAGGCCTGCAAGGCTGGGCAGTTAAGAGGCGATTAATCCTGCAGGGGAGGGCAGTTAGGGGTGACCAGGATGGCAGAAGATGGAAGTTGGGAGCAAACAAGCTGGCAGGGGAGCAGTTAGACACCAATAAGGCTGGCAGGCAGAAGTGGTTAGGAGCAATCAGGAAGGCACTCAGGTGAGTAGTTGGGAGCCAGCAGTCCTGGATTATGAGAGTGATGTCCCAGATTGGAGAGGGTGCAGGCTGGGCTGAGGGACGCCACCACCCCATCCCTCCATGCATGCATGAATTTTGTGCACCGTGCTTCTAGTATCTAATAAAAAACATACTTCAGAAGAACTCTTACAACTCAGTAATAAAAACACAATTCAATTAAAAACTGAGCAAAGAATCTCAACAGACATTTCTTCAAAGAGGATATATAAATGGCCAATAGCATATGAAACAATACTCAACATTACTAGTCATTATCTGATAGTTCAATTTGACCTAGTAATTTTCCTCCTAGATACACACTGAGTGGCCAGATTATTATGAGTTCAGAAATCATAATAATCCGGCCAAAACTGGTTTGGCTCAGTGGATAGAGTGTCAGTCTGCAGACTGAGAGGTCCCAGGTTCGATTCCGGTCAAGGGCATGTACATTGGTTGCGGGCACATCCTCAGTGTGTGTGTGGGGGGGGGGGTGTTCAGGAGGCAGCTGGTCGATGTTTCTCTCTCATCAATGTTTCTACTGTAGCTTTCTATCCCTCTCCCTTCCTCTCTGTGAAAAATCAATATATATATTTTTTTAATCATAATAATCTGGCCACTCAGTGTGTGTGTGTGTGTGTGTGTGTGTGTGTGCGCGCTAGAGGCCTGGTGCATGAATTCATGGGTGAGGTCCAGCCAGCCTGGCCAGGGGGAGGGGACATGGGCGGTTGGCTTGACTGCCGGTCAAATTCCTGGTTGAAGGGACCATTTGCATATTAGCCTTTTATTATATGGATATACACTGAGTGACCAGGTTATTATGCATTCAGAGATCATAATAATCTGGCCACTCAGTGTATATCCAAGAAAACTGAAAATATGTCTACTTAAAAACTTGTACATAAATGTTTACAGCAACATTATTCATAACAGCTGAAAGGTGAGAGCAACACAAATATCCATCAACTGATAAATGAATAAACAAAATATGAGATATCCTCAAATATCCTCACACTGGAATATTATTCATCCAAAAACAGAATGAAGTAAGGATACATGCTACTACATGAATGAACCTTGAAAACATTAGGTTAAGTTAAGGAAGACAATCAAATAAGACCACCTATTATTCCATTTATAAGAAATATCTGGATAAGCAGTTCCATAAAGATAGAAAACAAATTAGTTGATGCTTAGGTCTAGGCAGGAGAGGAATTAAGGGACGTTAAGAAGTACGGAGTTTCTTTTTCAGGTGATAATTTCTAAAATTGATGTACTAATGATAGCATATATTCCTAGTTGGGGCACATTCCTAGCTTTCGGGTTCAATCCCTGATCAGGGCACATACTAGAGAAAACCAGTCAATGTTTCTCTCACATTGGTATTTCTCTTTCTCTCCTTTCCTCTCTCTTTCAAATCAATAAACATATTCTCTAGTGAGGGTTAAAAAAAAAGAACCCTAACTGGTTTGGCTCAGTGAATAGAGCATCAGCCTACAGACTGAAGAGTCCTGGGTTAGGTCAAGGGCAAGTATCTCAGTTGAGGGCTCCATCCCAGGTCCTGGTCAAGGTGTGTGCAAGAAGCAACCAACTGATGTGTCTCTCTTACATAAATGTTTCCCCCCTCTTTCCTTCTGTCTCTAAAAATCAATGAGAAATATCCTCAGGTGAAGATTAAAATATAAAATAAAAAAATACAAAGAATTTGGGTATATAAATTCAAAAAAAGGATCCTGCTAACTCTGCAAGATTTATGTCTGTTCTTATGGTGGCCTATATTGGATTTCAGTGTTTCCTTTCATTCACAAATGTCATCAGGTACATTTTGTTTGGAACCTTGTAATATAGAATTTTAATTAAATTCTAATTTAATTTAATTTAATTTTCCTCGGCTAGAGGGAAGGCGGTGCCAGCAGCCAGGGGAGGAAGGCCTACTCTTGCACAAAATTCATGCATTGGGCCTCTAGTTTTATTATAACAACATTCTAGAGGACAAAAATTATTTAAATTTTCTGTTAGCTAAACATCTCCATCTAGTGGAAATTTTGTTTAAAATAAATGTTTTAGTACACAGAAGGTAGCTGTGTCTTCACCATTGTTTGTTTATTTGTCAGTCTCAACTCTAAAAATCTGCTTAACATGTAAAAATGTAAAAACATTTTAGAAGGCACTATCCATCAGAATTTATATGTACATCTCTTTTGACTTAGCATTCTACTAGAAATGTATTTCTAAAGATACACTTAACTTATAATTATACTAGTGGTCCGGTACACAAAATTCGTGGACAGGGATGGGGGTTCCCTCAGCCCAGCTTGCACCCTCTCTAATCAGGGACCCCTTGGCGGATGTCCAACTGCCAGCAGTCAGACATCCCTCTCGCAATCTGGGATCGCTGGTTCCCAATAGCTCACCTGCCTGCCTGATCGCCCCTAACTACAAGCGAAACAACATCAGAATTATGGGGGTCCCAGAAGAAGAGAGAGAGCAAGATACCGAAAACATACTGGAAGAAATAGTGACAGAAAACTTCCCCCACCTGGTGAAAGAATTAGACTTACAAGTCCAGGAAGCACACAGAACCCCAAACAAAAGGAATCCAAAGAAGACCACATCAAGATACATCATAATTAAAATTCCAAGAGAAAAAGACAAAGAGAGAATATTAAAAGCAGAAAGCGCAAAGCAGGTAGTAACCTATAAAGGAGCACCCATACGATTGTCAGCTGATTTCTTAACAGAAACCATGCAGGCCAGATGGGAATGGCAAGAAATATTCAAGGTGATGAATAGCAAGAACCTACAGCCAAAAATACTCTACTCAGCAAAGCTATCACTCAGAATCGAAGGCCAGATAGAGCTTCACAAATAAAAAAAGCTAAAGGAGTTCATCATCGCCAAACCAGAATTATATGAATTGCTGAAGGGGGTTCTTTAGGAAGAGGAAGAAAATAAAGATAAAAATTATGAACAACAAATACATAACTATCAACAAGTAAAACTAAAAACCAAGAGAATTCGCCGAAACTGGTTTGGCTCAATGGATAGAGCGTTGGTCTGTGGACTGAAAGGTCCCAGGTTTGATTCCAGTCAAGGGCACGTACCTTGGTTTCGGGCACATCTCAGTGGGGGGTGTGCAGGAGGCAGCTGGTCGCTGTTTCTCTCTCATCGACGTTTCTAACTGTCTATCCCTCTCAGTTTATCTCTGTGTAAAATCAATAAAAATATATTAAAAAAAAAAAAGAAAAATAAATAAATAAAACCAAGAGAATTAAAAAACCTGATGAACAATATTCACTGTTGAATATAACAGAATCAGAGGTATGGAAGGGGAGTGAACTGACGATTCTTGGGAAAAGTGGAGTGGGAGGTGCGGGAAGAGACTGAACATAAACTGTGCACCTATGGATGAGGACAATGAGGGTGAGGTACGGGCAGAGGGTAGGGTGGAAACCTGGTGAAGGGGAGCAATGGAGGGGGAAAAATGAGGAACATTTGCAATAGTATGAACAATAAGTTTTATTAAAAAACAAACAAACAAAAAAAAAAACCAACTCCTCCCATCCAGATAACCGGGCCCAGGCAATCTTGACTAGTTCCTAAGGAGACAGGGTCCTGATTACAGACATCCAACTCGGTCCCATATAAAAAGGGACAACTTGGGGTTTTTTTTAAGGCTGAGAACAAGGATGAGGAATCCTAGCACATGGCCATAAATGCAAGTAAGCATCCTGCCCATAGGACTTAGGATCTGGTGTAGACTAGTCTGTACCCACTTTGGTGATCTGATGTGCTGAAGCCAAGGCAGCCTTCCTGCCCTCCTTGCTCCTGTCCTTTTATACATAATCTCTTGCTAGGCCCCGCGGGAAAACCAACAGGTTGGGAGAGATTTTTGCTATCAAGCATGAATCCCATCCCAGTTAGTTCACAAAATAATGCCTAGATCCCACTCTCTGAGAGCCAGCCTTTGAAGGTGTCAAACAGAGCCTTATTCTTCCACTCCACCCTTGCCATGTGTTGTACATTACCATTCTGCCTGCTTCCCAATTTTTTTTTTAAATATATTTTATTGATTTTCCACAGAGAGGAAGGAAGAGGGATAGAGAGCTAGAAACATCAATGAGAGAGAAACATTGACCAGCTGCCTCCTAAACACCCCCTGCCGGGGATGTGCCCACAACCACTGTACATGCCCTGGACTAGAATCCAACCTGGGACCTTTCAGCCTGCAGACCGACGCTCTATCCACTGAGCCAAACCGGTTTTGGCTGCTTCCCAATTTTATGTGAAAATCTTAGTCAAAAGTATCTTCCTCCTGTGCTGTGTCTCAGCAGTCCAGTACAACTTACTGGCATAGCCATGAACTACCTTGGAGTCTAACCTCCAGCCCAGAGTGATGTTTGGGTAGCTGTGGTCCCAGATGACCATAACTTCATGAGAGGCCCTAAGCAAGAACACCCAGCTGAGCTGCCCCCAAATTCCTGACCCACAAGAAATGAGTGATATAATAAATGTGCTTTCTTTCTTTCTTTCTTTCTTTCTTAATATATTTTATTGATTTTTCACAGAGAGGAAGGGAGAGGGACAGAGAGCTAGAAACATCGATGAGAGAGAAACATCGACCAGCTGCCTCCTGCACACACCCCCACTGGGGATGTGCCCACAACCAAGGTACATGCCCTTGACCGGAATCAAACCCGGGACCCCTCAGTCTCCAGACTGACACTCTATCCACTGAGCCAAACCAGTTTCAGCTGTGCTTTCTTTTTGTTGTTGCTTTAAGCCATTAAATTTTGGGGAAATTTGTTAAGCAGAAATATAGATAAAAGCTTACAAATTGCATATCAACAACTACTGGAGGCACCCCAGGACTGCTCCCAGCACCTCAGGGTTTGCACTGGGAGCCAAGGAGCCTCTTGCAACCTGCCCTCCAATAATGTACCGATCTCCCAGCAACAGCCCTCCCCATGCAGGTACTGTGTTTATACTTTAAAATTTTTTGAAGTGATACCACTTTGCACAATTATGCAACAAGAGGATCCTGGTTCATGAACTGCTCTTCAGTTCAGCCCTTGCTGGAGGCTAAGGGAGAGAGCGTTTTATTTCATAGCAATAGAATCTCCGTTATCACAACATAATCTTTCGTTTACCTGGACTTCCAGAATCTGAAATTCAACTTGAAATGTAATCATGTGGCAATTTCCTGATAATTTGTGTCTTTGCAGAACTTTCTTTATACCTAAACAGAAAAGCAAATATTTTATTTGCAAATAACAATTTTCTTCAAATATCCATGTAGTTATATGGTGTGAAGTATGTTAGTATTTGCATTGAAAATATCTAGAATAATCTGCACCAAATTGATTTCTTTTGTGTGAAACAGAATTAAATCAACTTATACTTTCTAGCTCTCAATTATACCAAAAAATTAAGGTTAAGAATAGAAATTTCCATGTAACCAGCACTGAGTCAAGATACATCAATTTTAAAGAACCCCATGAAATTACCTCATGCCCTTTCCCAGGCTGTATTCTACCCTCACCCAAGAAATAACCACTATTCTGAGTTTATCAACATCTAGATTTGCTAATAACGGTATTTTTTGAATGGCACAATTCCACAGGGAGAAAGAGAAAGATATGAGAGGAACTTAATTTTAGAAACTAAAAATCATATGGATGAGCTAATATCACATGGAAAAGAACTGACGTGGCAGACTTAGGAAAACTAAAACCTCAGCCAGCAATGGGGAAACCTTAGAATCAAATCCATCTATGCACAGAATACCAGGAAAGACATTCTGAATCGGCAGCATAAAGTACATCAATAGATGGAGGTGAACTTGGGGCTCCAAATAAGAAGACTGAGACTTTTGTGCTAGTAAGTCTGACACCTGGCCTGACATCACTCTCCATCCTCTGCATTCCATCTCTTCGTTCCAAGAACCTGAAGTATCTAAATTCCCTCACTCACTTTCACATGCAACTCAATCTTCCCAAGGCGATCTGAGAGTCACCCTCTCTCCTTCCCAGTGTTGAGGGTTATTTTGATGGAAGTCAGGAAACATTTCCAAAAGTGATTCTTTCTTTAGGGAATGCTACTTTGTTCAAAGGTCCTGATATCCAATAGCTTCCCCTTTCCTGTTAGTGCATCACAGATCCTTGGCAATAAAACTTATTGAGACCAGAAAAACTCTCTTGGGTAAAAAGTCCAGCTGCTACTTTTATCTTGGCCAAAGACTATGTTCACTAGGAGTACAGTACTAGATGAAGCATCTTTCGGGTCAGCATGCTGGTGATGTTCTTACAATCACGTATCTCTGCTACTTGACTATTAAGCTGCTTAAATATTTATCCTTTCATCGTGTTTCCTTTAATATCTATCTCAGGCAGCTTGTAAGAGTATTATATACACTATCATATGCAAGACACCCTACAAAACAGCTTTACCACAACCACACATTCAAATTAATCCAACAACACCCCACCCAATTCCTATGCATAACAAGAAAAGCTTCAACACCACTTCTAGATTAAAATTAACACTTACGCCTTTCTGTCAGCTCAGCACTCACTAAGTTCTCTGTCTTCTTGGAGTACTTTCTGATATTTATACCAGTAAGCGTATTTAGAAATAGAAGTTCTGATTCTAAATTTCCAAGATTACTTCTTAGATCTTTTGAAGTTTCCCATCCTTCAGAATCTGATTGGTATATTTCTGGAAATGATTTTCTAAAAAAGCAAATATTGGAAATAATTACTCCAAAGAAGAAACCATCTAATACATACAAAGTTCTTCAAACCATTCCCATTTTGTGTTTCTTATTCTCTTCTCATTAAAAGCAACTCAAAACCAACATAGCTCATGGACACTGCCACCTTTAATCGCAACATAAAATAAACCTAACTAAATTATTTTACCATATTTCTACATATTTGAAGCAACTGTAAAAAAGTATCACAGGATTATTTTACAGAATCAAACTGTTCATTTAGGTCAAAATGTTTATAATGTTCCCATCTACCACTGAGCCAAACCAGTCTCGACCAAAAACTTGTACAAACTCTGTAGTGACTTTTTTAAATGTTACTTTAATTATAATTTGAAATATTAACAAATATATCCTGAGAGACTGTCACATGCTCTTTTGTACTTGCCATCACTGATTGATGAAAAAAGTTACTTTAAATATAGAAAGCTAATGAAAAAGGTGGCAATCTTCATATATAAATGATGAGTTGCTGCCAAATGAATCTATAATAATAAAAGCATAATATGCTAATTAGACCAGAGAGTCAACTGACTTTCCGGACATCGTTCCAGATGTCCTTCCAGACAAAGCCTCAGCAGCAGGGGCCAAGGCAGAGATAGTTAGGGGCAATCAAGCAGGCAGGTGATTGGTTAGGGGCAATCAGGCAGACAGGAAAAGGCGGTTAGAAATGATCGGGCAGGCAAGTACAATAGTTAAGGGTGATGAGGCAGGCAGGCGAGTTGTTAGGGGTGTGCAGGCAGGCTAGCAGGCAAGTGGTTAGGAGCCAGCAGTCCCAGGTTGGAAGAGGGTGCAGACTGGGCTGAGGGACCCTTCTCCCCATCCCCATGCATGAACTTCATGCACTGAGCTTCTAGTATCAAATAATGTCACAGCAAACTATGAATGAAATATCAAGGTATTTCTAATACTGTAATCAATTAAAGGATAGCTACCCTCTTTTGCCGAAAATAAGACAGTGTCTTATATTAATTTTTGCTCCCAAAGATGTGCTAGGTCTTATTTTCAGAGGATGTCTTATTTTTCCATGAAGAAGAATACGGTACACATTTATTGTTAAATGAAAATAAAGGAAATTTATTACCTATATACGGTACAGTAGTATGGTAGTTGTCAAACACAAACCAGACAAACTGTGAATCCTACAGTATCACGAATTTACTCATTTATTCAATGACAATCATGTCATCATCTTCTGTAACATCATTATAACAATCCAATTCCTGAATTTCCTGATGAATTTGTGACTGCATTTCTTTCAGAATCAGTGGACCAAATCCCTCATGTTTAGCAATAGCACTGTCTTTAAATGAGTACATCTTGTCAAGGTAGCCTGCTTGCAGTGCATTTGCAATGCAACTGTCAGTGATTTTCTCCCAGGAATTCTTCACCCAAGTCACAACTTCTTGCAGTTTAGGTATCACAAAGTTTCCACGCTGATTTCTCTCCATTCTATTTTCAATGTAGTCATTAATTTCCATGCTCAAATTGTCTTTGAAGGGCTTGTTTATTGCAATATCAAGAGTCTGGAGATAGGCCATCATCCTGCGGGAATCATTATCTGATCTATTTTTCTTTCGTGAAGAAATGTCTTAATGTCTTTAGCGTGGTGAGTGCTGGCTGCATCCCAGACTAGCAGACTTCCTTGGCTCCCTTGCATAACAAGCGGCAGCATTAAATCGACCCACTTCCTTATAACTGCTTGTGTGGCCCAGGCTTTTTCAGTTTCAAGAATAAAAACGCCCTGCCGAAACCAGTTTGGCTCAGTGGTAGAGCATCAGTCTGTGGACTGAAGGGTCCCAGGTTCGATTCCAGTCAAGGGCATGTACGTTGGCTGCGGGCACATCCCCAGTGGGGGATGTGCAGGAGGCGGCTGGTCGATGTTTCTCTCTCATCGATGTTTCTGGCTCTCTATCTATCTCCCTTCCTCTCTGTAAAAAATCAATAAAATATATTTACAAAAATAAAATAAAATAAAAACGCCCAAAATATGTTCAATCTTTTCTTTCTTGCCCTTAGAAATGATTAAAGGTGGGAATTTAGTGCCATCCAGACGAATTGCCAAAATACAGGAAACACGTGCACTTTCATAAGCAGTGGAGGGAATGTATACTAAGGAGGCACCCTGCTGTTCAATTGTTGTTTGAGATGATTGGCCCATAAACACTACAGTTTCATCCACAGCAATCATGTTGGAAAGATTGTATTTAGAGAAGTCAGCATCATCAATAAAGGACTTGAATGCAAGTGCTCGCTTAATAACTTGAGTATCTGCTAACCTAAACAATGTTGTACCAGTAGATCTTCTTAAAGACAGTTCACTTCGCTGAAGGAAATTATCCAGCCAGTGTTGTGATGCTTTGAAGTCTTCGGGGGCTATGTCAAACTCTGGTGCCATTGCAAGGGCAAATTCTTGAATCTGAGCCCTATTCCAACCAAAGCCTTTGCTCTCCTGTCAACACCCACTCACAGATCAGGTCTTCCAGCTCGGAAAATAATGGTTGCCGACCTGATCCACACTTGCGCTTTTTAGCATTTCCCTTGTCCACTTGTTCAATGAGGTTACCATACTCTGCTCACCATTCTCAGACCAATCGGATACTCAACATCTTCTCTTTGCAGAAAGCAGTAAGATTTTGGCCCCAAGAGTCTTCCACGATTCCTTTCTTGTACTCCACGGAGTAGCTTTTTCTTTTTGTGCTCATTTCTAGGGGTAAAAGAAAGGAATTGGGGTATCAAGGTGGGGGGAGGAGGATCACTTAGAATGAAACGGGGGATCAGAGAGGGGAATCAAAATGGCACAGGAGAATCAGAGGGGGGATTACCATTTTAGTAACCCCTTTCGATCCTCCTGTGTCATTTTGATTGCCCCCTCTGATCCTCCTGTGTCATTTTAAGTGATCCCCCTCCCCCACCCCCGTGCCACTGAACACCTTCACCAGACATCCTCCATACCCCTTTATCAGACATTTACTCCCTGGGGCCTGCCTGGGGACTGTCACTGGGCTTGCTGGGGCGTGGATCTGGGCTGGAGCAGGGTCTGCCACTGACTGAGAACCTTCAGTCATCATGAGGGCAGCCGTGAGCATCAGGCAATGTCACCAGAGACAGACCAGCACTCACCACCTTTGTGGCGTCCCGTCCGCTCTAATCCTCCTGTTCTTCTAGAACACGTGTCAAACACAAGGCCCGCGGGCCAGATCCGTCCCGCCAGGCCTTGCAATGTGGCCTGCACCTCGCTGTCATCACTGCACTCCGCTGCGTTTCCATCACAATGACAGTTTATGACTGTTCAGTAAACCATTCGGCCCGCGATTTAGGCTGGATTTTAGATTTTGGCCCCTTCTCTGATTGAGTTCGACACCCCTATTCTAGAAGCATCTAAGAAAGTCTCCTCCTCTCTCCCGCCCCGCGCTCACCTATTACTTCTACCTCCGCTCCGCCTCCACACAGCAGTGACTTCAGGACTCCACGTAACATCACTGGTTGCTAGACTCCAGTCGGGGCAGCCCTAGCGACCAGTTTATGGTAAATTAATTTTCATTCTGAGACAGAGCCTGGGGGGCCCTTATTTTCGGGGGGATGCCTTATATTTCACTCAGAAGAAAACCTATAAGTAGGTTTTATTTTCGGAAGATGATTTATTTTCGGGGAAACACGGTAGAGGAATCCACAGGCAGAGAAATCTCAGTCATATGCTGAAGCAATTTCTTCAGCGATACCACTCCTAGGGCAATGGAAACTAAAGAGAAAATAAACAAATGGGACCACATGAAAATAAAAAGCTTTTGCACAGCAAAAGAAACTATCAACAAAACAACAAGACAGCCCACTGTATAGGAGAACATATTTGCAAATGTTATCACTGATAAAAGTTTAATCTCCAACATCTACAGGCAGCTTATACAACTTAATAAAAGGAAGATAAATGATCCAATGAAAAAATGGGCAACAGACCTAAATAGAATCTTTTCAAAAGACAGAAGGCCAAAAGACATATGAAAACATGCTCAAAGTCACTAATTATCCGAGAGATGCAAACCAAAACAATATAGTACCATCTCACACCTGTCAGAATGGCTATCATCACCAAAGGATATGTGCTGGCAAGAATTCGGAGAAAAGGAACCCTTGTGCACTGCTGGTGGGAATGCAGACAGGTGCAGTCACTGTGGAAAACAGTATGGAGTTACCCCAAAAACTAAAAATGGAATGCCCATCTGACCCAGGAATATATCCCAAGAAACTAGCAACACCAATCAGAAAGGATATATGCACCCTATGTTCATATCAGCACAATTCACCACAGCTAAGATTTAGAAACAGCCTAAATGTCCATCAGCAGATGAGTGGATTAGAAAATGATGGTACATCTACACAACGGAATATTACGCTGCTATTAAAAAGAAGGAACTTTTACCATTTGCAGCAGCATGGATGGACCTGGAGAGCATTAAGCTAAGTGAAATAAGCCAGGCAATGAAAGAAAAATACCACATGATCTCACTTATTTATGGAAAATAAACATTATAACCTGATGAAAAGATAGAGGCAATAAAGCACCAAACAGAGAAGGCTGGGGAATGTTGGGGGGTGGAGCAGGGAAGAGATCAACCCAGGGACTTGTATGAATGCATATAAGCACAACCTATGGACAGAATGCACTGGGGGAGTGAGATGAGGGCATGCAACAGAGGGTAGGGGAGGCTGGGGAAAGGTCAATGGGGGGAAAAAGAAGATATATGTACTACTACATATAATACTTTAAAACAGGCGTCTTCAAACTTTTTTAAGTGGGGGCCAGATCACGGTCCCTCAGAGAGCTGGAGGGCCGGACTATATGAACTACTAATTCCTACTGTAACACCTCGGCTGCGCTCACTGCCCAAAAAACCTGGCGGGCCGGATCAGACTCCTCTGCCGGCCGCATGTGGCCCGCGGGCCGTAGTTTGAAGACGCCTGCTTTAAACAATATTAAAAAAAAAAAAAAAAAAGAAAAAAAGAAACATTGATGAGAAACATTAATTAGCTGCCTCCTGCACACCTCCTACTGGGGAATGTGCCCACAACCAAGGTACGTGCCCTTGACTCGAATCGAACGTGGGACTTTTTAGTCTGAAGGCCAACACTCTATCCACTGAGCCAAATCAGTTAGGGATGTTACAGTTTTCTGGTGGCTGGCTTTTTATATATAAAGATGGGTATAGAGTTTCACTTTTACAAGATGAAAAATTACAGAGATGGACGGTGGTGACAACTGCACAACATTATGAATGTATGTATCACTGACCTGTATGCTTAAAAATGGTTTAGATGGTAAAAATTATATTTCACACTAAAATAACACATACACACACTAACACTTTGGTGCATTATCAACCCTAACTCATCAGCAGAGAATTCAGACTAGAGAAGCCCTATAAATAAGAGAATGTGGCAAGGCCTTCCTGCATTCCACAGGCCTTTCTTTTCTTTAGATAACTCATACTAGAGAGAATCCTCATGAATGAAGAGAATGTGGCAAAGCCTTTTGCAAGACCTCAAACTTGACTGATGATCAGAACTCTGAAGGGAAGCCACATGAGTTGGCCACTCCTCAACCTTACTTCACACATCAGAGAAGTCATACTGGAGAGGAGCCTTATAAATGTAGAAAAAGTAACAAAGCCTTTAATCAGTGTTCCTGCCAAATTGTACAGCACAGAGTTCATACTTGAAATATTACAGATATGATTGTCATAAGTCCTTGGCCAGCAATGAGAACTTACTGAACATCACAGAATTCTGACTGGGAAGAAGGCTTATGAATGTGAAAAATGTAGAAAAGCCTTTAAAAACCATTCTTGTATTACTGTAATGAGTCTTCATTCTAAAGAGAAACCTTACAAATTTATAGCATGGGCAAGAGCCTCTACCCGCAGCTCAAAATTTAGTGACTATCAGAGGTTTTTATAGTGGTGGGAAGCCTTACACTGCAGAAAATGTGAGAAAGCACCTGGCTGGCCTCTCATCACTGTTCTCATCGCTCCCTCTTCCTCTCTGCGCCATAGCAATGGCATCTAACCTTCTCCTCTCCCAGGTTAGCCCTCCAGGCCCCTGAAGCTTCTGTTCAGTGGTTTGGAATGTTGCTAATGCTATAACATCAGAATTTGGCAAACATATTGCTTTATATTCATGAAGTAGGTAGACTACCATACAAATTTTCATGCTGGATTCCATAGTTTTTAATATGAATATTAACTTTTGGAATATAAAAAAATTGGCTTCTCTTTACTTTATAACTGGAATGAAAATAAAAAGCACATACACCAAAAACTTTGATCCGAAATCTTCAGATACCAATCTTCCTTCTCCACCAAAGTGAAAAGAAAGTTCACATTAAATCAAAGTTCACATGGACTCTTCTGACTTCCCCAATTTGACCCTTGAGGAGGCCCAGTCCGCATGCTATCCTGGTCAACAGTAACATCCTGTGGACAGTAGAGAAATTATTTTCCTCCACAGAATGACCTGGCACTTCTCAAACTTTCAAGTGTGCATAGAATAGTGCGGGGTCTTGTTATAAAGAGCAGATTCTGACACAGATTGGGGAGGCCAACGTCTATTTCTATCCAACTTCGAGTAATGCCATTACTTCCCACCTGTGGACACCTGTAGTGCCTGCAGAGCGCTTGTGTGTGTATGTGTGTGTGTGTGTATGTACGTGTGTAGGGGCGCGCTTGTTCCCCAGGGGTGTGTGTGTGTGTGTGTGTGTATGTATGTAAGTATGTGTGTAGGGGCGCACTTGTTCCCCAGGTGTGTGTGTGTGTGTGTGTGTATGTATGTGTGTAGGGGCGCGCTTGTTCCCCAGGTGTGTGTGTGTGTGTGTGTGTGTGTGTATGTACGTGTGTAGGGGCGCGCTTGTTCCCCAGGTGTGTGTGTGTGTGTGTGTGTATGTATGTGTGTAGGGGCGCGCTTGTTCCCCAGGTGTGTGTGTGTGTGTGTGTGTGTAGGGGCGCGCTTGTTCCCCAGGTGTGTGTGTGTGTGTGTGTGTGTAGGGGCGCGCTTGTTCCCCAGGTGTGTGTGTGTGTGTGTGTGTGTGTGTGTGTGTGTAGGGGCGCGCTTGTTCCCCAGGTGTGTGTGTGTGTGTGTGTGTGTAGGGGCGCGCTTGTTCCCCAGGTGTGTGTGTGTGTGTGTGTGTGTAGGGGCGCGCTTGTTCCCCAGGTGTGTGTGTGTGTGTGTGTGTGTAGGGGCGCGCTTGTTCCCCAGGTGTGTGTGTGTGTGTGTGTGTGTGTGTGTGTAGGGGCGCGCTTGTTCCCCAGGTGTGTGTGTGTGTGTGTGTGTGTGTGTGTGTAGGGGCGCGCTTGTTCCCCAGGCCTGCTTCCCTCTCCCTCCCACCATCCACCGCTTCCTCTGCCTTCAGGATCCCAACATGCATGCAAACTTCAGCTGCCAGCTCCTCCCTGTGTTCTTGCCCAGTCAGCTCGGGAGAACCTCGTTCTCTGCACCTTGTCAAACAGTCTCGACTGAAAACATGAAGGTAGTTTCTGCTTCCGAGCAGCGTGCTTTCGAGACGATGGGTTCACACAGTTCACAGCGCACAGAGCTCTCCCTGCGCCCTCAGCAGCGCCTCTGGGGCCCGCCATCCAGCCTGGCGCCAGGCTTCCTCTGAGACCTCGGGCAGCACTCAGCTCCCGAACTTCAAGGCCGGGGACCGGACAGCGCCTGCTTCTGCCAAGTGTCAGGGACCCAAAGGGATGACGCGGGAAGGAAGGGCTGGCACTCGGTCTGTCCTCCAGGCCGCGCCAGGAAGCGCCCCCGCCCCCGGGGCTGCGGACCCAGGCGGCCTCCCGCCCTCCCGTCCGCCGCCCCGGCTCCCGGAGCGGCCCCGCCGGCACTCGGCGTCCCGCCCGCGTTCGGTGCCTGGGCCCGGCGGCGGGAGGTGCGCACCCCGAGAGGACACGCTCCGCCCGCCCACGGGGCCTGAGGAGGGCCACGTACCGCACTCGGGCCGTGGCCGCTGCGGGCGCCGGCAGCTCCTCCAATGCCCGTTTCAGGGCCTGGACCTCGGCTTCCAACACGCGGACCTCGGCCTGCTCCGCGTCCATGGCACGGCGCTCCCGGGAAGCAGCCCGGCGGCCCCGCGCCTCGCCCGGCGATTCAAGCCTCGCGCGCTCCGGGCGCGGACCACCGGGGCGCCCGCAGGGGGGTGGCGAGAGCGCGTGCGCGGCGCCGGCGGGACGCCCGCGCTGGCACGCGGCCTCGGGCGCTCGGGCGCCCGCGATCCCAGCAGCCGCTGCTCCCGGCGCTGCCCAGGCTTGGAGAGGGTAGGTTCGCTCCAACCCGAAGCCCCAGGACCGAACTGCCCCCCACCCGCGCCGGCGGAGTTGGGAGCAACCAAGTGGCGCGTCACTGAGGAGTAGCTTCCGGACGCTGTGAAAGGGAGCGTCTCGTTATTTCCCTTCCGCCCTCACTTCCGCCCGCAGCTGCTCCAGGCGCGGTAAACAGAGGCGGCCACCCCTAGGTGAGAAGCGTGTGAGCACGACTGCAGAGCTCTGAGGGCGGCGAGGGCGGGCGGCGGCGGCGCGGCGGGCTCCCCCGGCGGGAGCGGAGAGGGGGCCGGAACCCTGGGAGGCGGGCGGGCGGGCGGGGAGGAAGGAATAGCGGCGCCGCCTCGTGGAACACGTGACCGGGAGCCCGGGACTCCGCGGGTAGGTGGTGGGCACCACGCGGTAGGAGTGGGTCTGGCCGTGGAAGAGACCCGGCCGTTTTGCTTCCACTGTCCCTTCTCTTGGGTCTTGGGTCTTCGGGGCAAAAAGCCTAGGTGCGCAGGGTGGGGCAGGGAGTCCCCCGGGAAGTCGGAGGTCGTGCCTCCCGCCCGGATCACGAGCTCTAGGTTGGTTCTGGGCCGCTGGGGGTCCCGTAGGAGGACTTGTCAGCTCCGGGGGAGAGAGGCGAGTGTGGCGCCGCGCCCCGGGTGCTACCGGGGTTAGAGGTCCCACAGGGGGCCTCAGCCTAGTACCTCCGAGAGTTTTCCCGACCCCTTCAAACACTGCAGCCTTCCTAGTATAATTATGCATTACAGGTTCTGGAATTAGACCTGGTTTATAATTTTGGCTTCATTAATTCTCTGAATGACATCGGGAAAGTGACACAATCTCTCCTGCTCATCTGAAAAACGAGATGAACGCAAACTATGCCATACAAAGCTGACACATACTTAAATTCAAAAACAAAAACAAACAAACAAACAAAAAACACAGAACAAGCCTGTATTAGCCATGGTATCGTTCTCTTCGCCTGAACAGTCATCTCTTGTGACAGTAGCTGTCTCTTCTATCCTTTAGCATGTTGACCTGCCACACCTCATTTCTTTCCGCTTTCGTCCAAGTGAATAAAGGAATGTATAAATGAATGAAAGCAAAATGCTTGACTAGGTGGATAAGTAACAGGGGTGGAGCACACTTTGGTGCTAATTTTGGGAAAGCATCTCTCCGTGCCTGTGTCTGTGCAGAGGTCCTGGTCCAAAGTGGGTTCATGGAGAAAGTGGGTGTAGGGTTTGACCAGAATCTCCAGGGATAAAATTTAGGAACAATATAATAGTGAAAGTTTAGGCAACCAATTTGGCATCAAAGGTTCAAGGTGAGTTTGGGTTGTTTTTGTTGTTTTGAGAAGAACTAATGGAAAGAACTCAAATTATTTTCCCTACCAGAACACACTGATTGTACCCCAGCCTTTATGAAAGCCAACCGAGAAACAAAGCGCCTTTTTGTGGGTGGCCTTGGTCAGAGCATTTCTGAGGTGGACCTGCAAAACCAATTTAGCAGATTTGGAGAAGTTTCTGATGTGGAGATCATCACTCGGAAAGATGACCAAGGTAAGTTTATGGTATTTCGTGGGTAAAGGCAGGTCTAACTCAAGTTAACACAAAATAAAGGGACCGCAGAGGTTAATGTCAGCACCTGTATATCATTGTGTGCTCCACGCCAAGCCTGGAGGTGTAATTCATGATGTGGAACTTTCCCAGAATTATTCAAAATAATTTCTGAGTTCAAAAATATTCTACATTCTAAAACACCTGATTTCTGAAACATGTAACTTTCAGTTTTTAGAGCTAAAATTCTAATACTCAATAAATGTCCTATTAAAAAGAATGTCACTAATATAAAATCATATAACAACATAACATCATAACATAATCAACTGACCATTTGACATTTTTTGTTTCTTTTTTTTTGTTTGTTTGTTTCTTTTAATATTTTAATAATCATACTTACAAAGTTTCAATCTTTGAGTCCAGTGAAAAATAAACAAGTTTTTTTCTTTGAAAGAGCTTGTTTCCAAGAGTTCATTTTTTTAAATTTATAAATGTAATCACTTATATTGTTTCCTGGATAAGAGTTTAAATAAATATATTTTTCTGTTTTTTAGGAAACCCACAGAAAGTCTTTGCATATATCAACATCAGAGTAGCAGAATCAGACCTGAGAAAATGTAAGATATTCCCTATGACTTGCCAGTTTATGTCTGTGTAACTTGGAATAACTTCGCTCTAAATCTTAGCCAATTTTTAAGTCATCCAGAGGAACAGCTATGATCAAAAGAATTCCAGCATCCTGTAAATCAGCAGGTTTAGTTTCGTACCATGTGACATCAGCAGTCCTGTGGTAGCACATTGCTACTGGTATTGCTCAGCAATGGTATTCTAAAGTATTTTGGACAAGAAACAAAACTTTCATAGAAATTGCCTGTTACACATATCCCACTATGCCAAATCCCTCTCCCCTTTCCTTGTGAGTTCATTTCTTAGGGAGGTTATTTTCTTGTATTGAAATGCTGTTAGGAGAGGCTGGCTTAGTGTATGCCCTTGTAAGACTGTATTCTTGAAATTATAGAATCTCTATCAAGAAGTTTAGTGTATATTAAAAACACACACACACACCCAGCTATTGCGCCTCAGTGGTTGACTATCAACCAGGAGGTCACAGGTTCATTTCCTGGTCAGAGACATGCCCGGGTTGTGGGAGGCATACAGGAGACAGGCAATAGATTATGTTTCTCATTGATTTTTCGATTTCTTTATCCCTCTCCCTTCCTCTCTAGCTTTAAAAAGTTAATTTTAAAAAAACATATATGTAGAAAGAAATTTAGTAAAATTGTGTTCTTCATTGAAGAAGAAAGGGAAGATAACCCATGTTGCCACTGATGCTGTGATGAATTCTCGTTGTTTAGAAGCTGAATAGTCAGGTTCTTGTTAATCGGTTACTGTTCCACGACCCTTAACGAGTCATGGTTAAGAACACAGCAGCTTTGACATGTAACCTGCGGCATGTTATTTAAACTTCTAAGCTCCCGTTTGCTTATCCAATGTATAGAAAAGATATTGTTTGCCTTGTAATTTACTGCAACTGCAAAGATTAAATTGAATAGAATTTTAGTATTAAATAGTATCTACCAATATAGTTTTCCCTCTGTTAGTGGTTATTATTAAGGAATCTGATAGCAAATATTTAGAAAAAGCAACTATTAGGGCATAGTATACTTCAGTCACTTGCAGCTAATTTGTTTGGAAGTTACACAGAGGTAACTAGCATGAGGTGAAAAATGAAAGTGGGGAGCTACATAACTCCACTGTCCTGTGGTTCACCTTGGGAAAATTGCGTTGACATTTTATAGTTTTAGTGTGGGAAGTAAAGAAAGGTCACTCATTCACCAGAGAGTTCTGGCATTACTTTATAAACAAATAGCAAACAAGTATTTCTTTATAGTTTACACATTTGCTTCATTCGTATCTTCCAGTCACACTGGGAGGTAGGGAATGTAAGGGCTGCACTAGCAAGTGGTCTAGGTGAGACCAGGATCCAAGCCCTTTCATTGCTTGTTCTCTGAAGGCTCTCCAGGCAGCTCATGGGGCACCTGGTCTTCAGGTGTGTTTGTAGCTCAGGATCACAGCCTGGTGGAGCCCCGCACCAGGGCTGCGTACATGGGAGCTGAGCGGTGACCGAGCTTGGAAGCCCAGTGTGACTTCCCATCAAGGGCTTTGTAGGGAGACTGGCTCTTAAGAAAGTATTGGGAGCCCTAACCGGTTTGGCTCAGTGGATAGAGCATTGGCCTGCGGACTCAAGGGTCCCAGATTCTATTCCAGTCAAGGGCATTTACCTTGATTGCAGGCACATACCCAGTAGAAAGTATGCACAAGGCAGTTGATTGATGTTTCTAACTCTATAGCCCTCTCCCCTCTTCTCTGTTAAAAAAAAACAAAAAAACTTTCCAGGAACCTGGAAAGTGTGTAAGGCTTTGTGGCATTGGATGGTAAAGACCAATTTTGTGGTCAGTTTTCTGTTACTGTTCCGAAAATTTTATTAGCTGAGGTTGATTGCTCATAGTTGTATAAAGATAGATAGATCGTACCCTTGGAAGTGTCAGCCTTAAAATATGTTCTTGTGAATTTATTTTTGTTTAAGGCATTAACTTTTATCTGCGTGATTTTAAAAAATTACCAGGAATCAGATCCCAAATTTCAGAAACAACTTGTCTTAATAAAGAATTAAAAGTGGGTTTGGGCCCAGCCAATGTGGCTCAAAAAAAAAAAAAAAAAAAAAGATTAAAATAAAATTCCTTGCTCTGTTTTCTCTGTCTCTCTTCATGATTAACAAGTCTACTTTTCTTGGTATTAAATAATTAGAAGAGGCACATTCTGAAATGTATTTTTGCATTGTGATGTAATTGGATAATAATTATTTACTCTATAGGTATGTCTGTTTTAAATAACACAAAATGGAAAGGTGGAACACTACAAATTCAGATAGCAAAAGAAAGTTTTTTGCACAGGTAAGATTTGTTCTATATGAATTTAAACAGTATCTTTTATTTTATAAATGGTTTTGTGTATTGACTTAATTGATTTAAAACTGCTGAGTAATGATATTTATTACTAGAGGCCCACTGGTGGGGTCCCTCAGCCTGGCCTACAGGGATCGGGCCGAAACGGGCTCTCCGGCATCCCCCAGGGGGACCTGCATTACAAGAGGATGGTTCTTGGGTAACGCACCCTGGAATCTGTCTCCCTCCTCTCCAGTTCCAGTTCGGGTTTCGGGTGCATAACTTCGAGGTCACCACAGCTGGGCAGCTCCTGTGTTTAGCATCTGCCCCCTGGTGGTCATTGCACATCATAGCTACTGAACAGTAAGCTGGTCGCTTAGGCTTTTATTTATATATACTAGAGGCCTGGTGTATGAAATTTGTGCAAGGATCTCA